TATCACAGTTGGAGGTGTCCAATTATGATTTTTTTTTCCACGTAAAATCGTTGTGTCTCTTTGTCTTGATTGTTTGATTGGGATTATTATATTCTGCTTAAAATTGATACATAATCACAAATCAACATCTAGGGGATTTCTAGATTTTTCAAGTGTCATGGAAGTTAATCCCATATTGTTGTAGAAACCTCTTAGCCATAAGCCTGGCTTTGTGTCTAGCCACTAAGCCATCTGAATGTCTCTTGAGCTTGAATACATTTGCAACCCATAGCCTATTTAAAAAGAGGGAGAGAAACCAAAGGCCAAGTTCTTAGGTGCTAAAGAACACCATATTCATCCATCATAGTTTTAAACCAAACAAGGGAGGTAAGAACTGAATTATAGAAAATAGGCTAAGTAGACTCATTTGCAAAAGGCAGAGAAGAAGCAACAGCAGTGGTGAAGGATAAAGGTTTGGTTTTGGACTTGGTTTGTATAGAGTTGGTGTTTGTGGACTGCAGAGGTGGGAGAGGTAAAACAACAAAAATAGACTTAATAGGCATTGGATGCATGGATTGATGTATAGACTCAGAAATAAGTTGAGACTAATGATAAAAAGAAAGCTGAGATTTAGTAAGCTACAATACCTGTGGTAGCTCAAGTTGGGTGTGCAAAGTAGGTAATGACTAAGTGGAAAGGTGAGACTGAGTAGAGTGTGCAGTTGGAGAGATAGGCTGAGATTGAGCAAACTAAGACTAAAAAGGCACAGATTGAGATTGTTTGAGCTGAGCTGACCTAGGCTGAGCTGGCCTAAGCTAAGTTGGCCTACACTGAAAATGGGAAGAGGGTGACCAAAAGAAATCAGGCAGTTGCGGAAGAGAAGATGGAGAAGAATAAGAAGAAAAAGGAAAAACAGTCTCATGAAACCTAACTTGCCTAAACGAATATATTTTACCTGTTAAAGGATCTAAATACTTGTAACCCTTAGCACTAGGATGATATCCCAAAAACACACAAGAAGTGGACTTAGGTGCTAACTTGTGAGAGGTGCAATGTTTGAGCCAGGGAAAACAAAGACAACCAAACACCTTAAGAAAAGTGTAATCAGGGGGCTTTTGAAAAAGCATTTGAAAAGGAGAACAATTGTCAAGAGAGACACTAGGTAACCTATTTATCAAATAAGTTGCAGCAACTATGGCATCAAACCAGTAAGTAAAAGGTATTAAAGAATGATAAAGAAGAGAAATTGATGTTTCTGCAATATGCAAATTATTTTTTTCTTCTACAACTCCATTTTGTGATGGAGTATATGGGCAAGAAAATTGATGGTGGATGCCATGAGAATGCATAAAATGCTGCATATGATGGTTGATTACCTCCATATGATCTTAGAATTTGGAGAGGGAAACAAAATTGTTTCTCAACAAAAACCTTGAATTCCATGAATTTAGAACACACCTCACTCTTATAGTAGAGAGAATAAATCCAAGTAAAATTTGATAAAGTCATCAACAAACAACACATAATATTTGTAACTTGAAGAATAGCTAGTAATTTAAAGAAGCTCCAACGAGCAATCCTCAAGCTCTTTCAATGGAGTTGTCTTCATTCTCTTCAGGAGGATTCAATGCATATTAGCATGGATTACACCTTTCAAAAGCCCTAATTTCTTAAGGTGTTTGGTTGTCTTTGTTTTCCCTAGCTCAAACCTCACAACTCTCACAAGTTAACACCTAAGTCCACTTCTTGTGTATTTTTGGGATATCATCCTAGTGCTAAGGGCTATAGGTGTTTAGATCCTTTGACAAGTAAAATATATTTGTCTAGGCATGTTAGGTTTCCTGAGACTATTTTTCCTTTCTCCTCTTCTTCTATCACCTATCTCCTTATATATGTGGATAACATCCTACTTACAAACACTAATGAGTCTTATATTCAAACTCTTTTCGCTCATATGCATAATGCCTAATTGAAAAGAGCTGGGACTAAACAGAAGACCATGTGAAATTGTACCTTTGACATATCTAAGAATTCTTTTGACAGTAGAAAAATGGCCTAATGTAGGTGAATTGCAACACACGAATCAAAAAAAAAAAAAGAGCGATAAATTACACTTTGCACCCTTGCAGTTTATACCGAATTTTATTTTGGCCCCTATACATAAAATCATGACAGTCAAACCCCTACACTTCTAAAGTAAATGTCCCATTTTTGTTATTATACCATATAAGTCAATAATTTGACAAGCATATGACTACAAAATGAGGGCAAAAGAGGAAAATTACCCCAATTTCATGCCTATACACATTTCATCTCGAAATTTATATCAAACTATGAATATGTTAGGCTAAATCAAAACGTTGATTGTAAACGATTAAGGAAATGAACTAGGGTTTTGCAGAAACTGGAATCACAAAACTGTCTATTCCTCTTCATTTCTTTTCAATTTTTCTATTACTTGTTTTGATTTTAAAAGCTCTGATTTCTTACTTCTTCATCCTAGTTTTCAGCATATGAACATATATATATATATATATATATAACTCTCACATACTTATTACATGAGACAAAGTGTGTATTGGTGGAAAATGAGGATAATTTTCCTTTCTTAGTCACATTCTTATCACATTATTAGATTCTGTTAAATATTTAAACAATGAAGTAACAAATGGGGATGTTGACATTTGTATTTAATAGTTTTAGAGTACTATCTAATATTGTTTTTTAGAAAAGTATATGATATTATTTACATAGTATTCTAATTAATGGGAAATCCTAACACATTAAGTAGGCCATCTTTATCTCCCAACTATTTAATAGAAGTGGCACGTCTTACCTGTAAAATTTTCTATTACATGATTAATTTGAAATATCATGTAAATGGCACTCGTATCTACCGTGGCACCGATAGAAGTGGCACTTGTTCAAAATGCCACAAGACCAAAAAATGTCATTAGAAGAATAGTTTTGTGACACTTTCAAATGTCACTAAACTAAGAAAATGTTGTAGTGCGTCATACTAAATTATGAAATAAACCCCTAGTAGTCAACTAACTGAGAAAGCTCAAGAAAGGCAAAAATGATAATGCAAAAAGAGAGTTATGCTACTGTACTGTATATTATTATTAGGGAAAAATACAACCCAGTGGGCTATCAGGAAAAAAATTATAAAAAAAATTATGATTTTAATTATTAATATTGATAATAAAAAATTTACTAGTTCAATATTATTTTTATAAAAATAACCTGATATATGACTTTCCCTTATTATTATATAAACCAAAGATTTACTTGGTGCCTTGAAGTTTGTTTTTTATTTTCTTTTTTAATCTCTATGCCAAGTAGATTTTTTATGTAAATTCTACTTCAGCATCGTTTGTTAACATTCTCAGTTTTCAGTTTATAAAAAATAAGAAATAGGTTTTCATTTACTTTTATAAAAAAATAAAAACAAAAAAATTATTTGGTGTATAAAAATATTTTAAAAACAAATAAAAATAAAAATAGATAAATATATTTGATGAGCCGTCGGATTTGGTAGCCGAAATGGATGGTGGATGGATGTGGTAACCGGTAATGGCGCGTAGCTGATGGTGTTCACCGGAGTTAGTAGTCAGATGTCATTAGAGAACACAAGGTGGTTAGGAGGAGGCCAAAAGGTGACCGAAAGTCACAACGGTGACTGCCCACTGATTAGAAAGTTGCCGGAGGTTGGTTGGAGCTCACCACCCACTGACAGCATGGGATGGTGGCCAAAGGTGGTGGGTGAGAAGAGACAGTAAAAGCTTACTTCAAAAACAAGTAAAAATAACTTTTTTTGTGTTTTCAAAAATTTTGAAAACTTTGAAATCAATTTCATTTTTTTAAAACGAAAACAACATATCAAATAAGTTTTCGTTTTTTACAAATAAACAAAACTTCTTTAACTATTTATTTTTTTAATTTTCATATTTTTATATTTTGATTAATTTGGCACACAATAGGTGTTCATTCATACTAGTAATATACACATATATGAGCATGGCAAGCTTCAGTTTTGTGAGAGAACATGTCCTTTTTTTTTTTTTTTTTTTTTTTTGGCGATTGTGTTTCCCCTCCATTAACCTTCGTCGAAACATTTTAGAGTGAGTAAACCTCAAATCTTGGGTCTTATCCACCAGGCCAACTCTCCTTGGCAATAAAATTCTTAAGATGACAGACCGCAGGAAATAAACCTGTTTTAGAAGGCTTGTTCAGACTGTGAAAACTTAATTTGTTGCACACGACTTAACCCATAATATCCTATATATCAAAAATAAAAATAAATAAACAAATAAAAACAGCCATTTTGGTGATTTTGGCTATAATTTCATCAAGCTAACTTCTGAGCCCAATTTGACGCTAATTAAATTAAATTTACATACAAAGAATTAAATAATAAGAATTTACACATAAGCACAGTAGAGCCAACTTCTGATGAGAATAATGGATATACCAGTGAATCAAAATACAGAATTATCTAGCACCAATAATATATTTCTTTGGTCCCTCGTCAAGATAATGTTGGGAATGATTCGCACCAATATTTATTTATTTTTTAATTTTCATTTTTATTTTTATCTAGTTTTTTAATCTTGTACTAATGAAACACATCAAATAATATGCAAATTTTAATTATTCAAATTTAATCAACCATTTATCTAACGGTATAATAGTTGGTTCCAAAAAAATTGTTTCTTCGAAGTTGGTAGATCAAATTATAAGTTGATGCCACTAATTTCTTGTTATTGCAGGATCAAATTAACCTAATCTTTCATTCTTTTAATAAAAAATATTCCCATTTTTAGCCATTTAACGTCAATTTAAAAGGTCTACTATTTTCTCAGATTTTTTATATCCAAGAGTGTAACATTCTCAATGCTGGACAAGCAGTTTGACACCACCGCAGCTAAAAACTATGAAACATCATAAATCTCCAAACTATCAAATACCATCCATTAAAACTCCAGATTGATCCAAACTACGACTTGTAAAGAGTAGAATTATGCAAATTGTTCTTTTCATTGAGATTTTCAATCGTTCCACGACACTATACCTTGAACCAAGAATTAAGCAAACTGCGATCAACTCAGCCAAAAAACATAAATAAATGAAGTTTACCGGATGACCAAAATGTTACAAAAGTTCCTTATCAACTGAACAGTCAGAACAGATAACAGCCAAAATTGGATGAAAAAAAGGGGAGATAGAGAGAATTTGCAGCACTAGGACTTGAGAAGAGCCATCTACCATAATCAAAATTGCTCCTCTTCATGTGTTTCTCAAAGAACAAGTGTCTCCACCAAGTCAAGCAAGACTTCAAACCCGTCTGTCTTGTCATGAAGTTGCATAGTGATGATGTAGAACATACTTCACCACTTCATAAAATGAAACCACAATCCCAACAGAAGGCCCTGCACGCCCAACACGAGGACCCGCACCTGTAAACAGTCCCTTCATCCCTCCATCTCTGCATCAAACAAAATTTTAGATTCAGACATGTAATTTGGCACCAACAATGGCTTTTGTTATTATTTAAAAAGAAAAAAAAAAGATTTAGTTTGTCAATCAAAAAGATGAACTGTTAGTTGCTCGACCTCTCTCTCATGCAACCAAATAGAGCGGCCAAAATAGAGATCACTTATTTAGGGTTACACTGGCATATATGACACATTAGTACAATTCTGAATTATATCTCAACATGCAAGAAGCCCACCTACAAGGGTTTTTTTTTTTTTTTTTTTTTTTGGAAAATAAAAATAAATAAATAAATAAAAAATAAGAATAACAAAAAGAGGACAGTTCACAAACAAATTCTCAACATGCAAAGAACAGTGTGCACTCAAATATGTTAAGTAGAGATATACCTCCACACTTCCATCAGTGTTTGTCTTGTTGTCATCCTAAGTGCCCTAGCGGGATCCTTCTGAAAAGTGGCCAAATATACAAAAGAACAAATATACATGTTAGAAGATCTAATTTAAAACATTGAACTACTATGCACACATTCCGGTCTTTTATGTTAAATGCCACTTCTAAATTCTGATAGTTTTGATAACGCTTTCTGAATGGAATTCTAGTATTGGTCTTACAGTTAAAACATGAGGTTTTTAAAGACTAGCCATTCTTCCTAACCTACAACAGCAACTCATGAAGATTGTAGTTATGGGTGTCCAACCTCACCATGTGGCATTGCCAAATCATATCCAGATAGGCATCACCGAAAATGTGGCACCACATGTCAGCCTCGTGAGGTGGCATGTGGACAAATGATATCTCTCCACATGCTCCATACCAAGGTTGTGCTATGCTGGTCAAGGCAAAAAGATGCATGGTACCCCTGCCTTACACCTAGTAACTGAGCAACGAGGCATGCACTAGACTGCTTGCAGCTCTACTCAGCTGAGCCAAGGACTCTCCACTGAAGCAGCCGCCCACCCTACTAATGACTTTCATGCATGGTGCCTCCTTGGCTCGATTGGATAGCCCTCTACCTAGTGTGTCCTCTCTCAACGTTGTTCCCTCCAAGACTAAGGCACACTCTCCAACCACGTGTGCCCCTTTCATGACATTCACTCGGTGTCACCTTGGGATGTGCTATAAAGCACGGACACCTCTCCGAGGGCTGTGTATCAGTGTCGGACATGTGTCGGACATCGACACGCTATGGGCACACGTCCGACACTCTCATGAAGGTGTCCCTTTTTTTTTGTTTTTGAATTTTTTGCAGTCGGACACGTTTCGGACACTAGTATGGGGTACAAAACATAATTTCTGAAACTTGTAAGCGGGGGTCAAATTGTAAAAAACAAAGATTGAAAAAATTAACCTAGATCGAAGAGTAGAGACAGAGAAGAGACGAGAGAAAGGGCTGAGGCTACTCGCAGTTCACTGCAACAAATCAAAGGTATGTCTTCTTCTTCTATTTTGTTCTTTTCTTCTCTTCTTCTCCTTCGATTCTCTTCCTTTTCTTGTTCGATCTTCTTGTTCAATTACTCTCTCTCTCTCTCTCTCTCTCTCTCTCTCTGACTCATTTTTTTGGTTGCTCTTTCTTTGTCGCACTCTCTTTTTTTGTCTCTATGTTTTTGTTCTTTGACTCTTTGTTTTCTCTCTGTCACTCTCTCTCTCTCTCTCCACCCACTTCACCTACTCTCCACCTACTCCTCACCTACTCCTCACCTACTACACACTCACCCTCTCCTATATATAGGAATCATTGTAAACATAACAAAAAATCAATCAATAATACAATTCTCTATTTCTTTTTATACATCAATTTTAACAATATTATATGTTATACAATAATTATTATATAATATATAATAATAATTGTTATTATTATAGTTATTATAATAATAGTTATTAACTATTACTATTATTATTTTATATAGATATATACGAATAGATGTCAATCAGTAAATGAGTAAATGCAAAGTCACGAATAAAACGAGAGAGAGAGAGAGAGAGAGGGAGAGAAGAGAAGCGAAGCGAGGCGAGGCGATGCGATGGATCGATCGCAATTGCGATCACGATCGCGAGGGAGAGAGAGAAAGCGAGAGAGAGAGAGAGTCGTCTGGGGTGTTCGACTGTTCAATCGACTGATGGAGCTTCGATCTTCGACTGGATCAACCGGATGGAGCTCCGACTGGAGGTCATCGATCTTCGACTTCCACTGGATCGATTTCAACCAGGTTCTCTCTTGCTCTCTCCTCTTTCATTTCTTTTGCTGTCTGTAAAGAGCCGTGTCCGAGAGAGAACAGCCGAATCCGACACAGATCCCACACCCGCCCCCGTGTCGTGTCGTGTCATGTCGACACGGGTACTTTGCCCCAAAGTGGCGAGTCCATGTAACACAGGTCCTCATTTTTTGAAAATTTGTGTATCCGTGTTGTGTCCAGCGTCCGTGTCCATGCTTCTTAGAGGATGTGCTTTTGTATAATTGAATAAATAAGCAATATTCACATGCTGCCATATTTGTGAGCACATGTGCAAGTGTCTGGGAAAACTACTCATGTATCCTCCCAGATAACAAGTGTGCATTTCAACCACAAACAGGGGACTGAACCAAAAACTGAACTAGTGTTAGAAAACAATAAAACCGGGTCATATGAACATAACACATTTAACTCTTTAGAAAATTTTTTAGTCAGATTTCAAATGGCTCCAGCTCAACATCCCAGTAATGGAGTACGCTACTAGTGTTTTGCTTGTTCTGTGCATCATATGATGTGAGCACTTGTAGCAAGTTAGTGAATGAAATTCTTTCAACTTCGAAGGCAAAGAGGAGCCCCATAGTGACTGCTGATGATGTATTCCCATAGAAGGGAAGAAATAGAAGAACATGATAGAAACCGAGGAAAGATGAGAGTAGTCTACTCCCTGTATGTGTTTGTAATGTCTCAAGTCTCTCACGCACAAACAAAAAAAGGAACTCCAGCAGCACGTGTCCCACCATCAGCTAAGAAGTCACAAATATGGCAGCTAGCAGAGAACATATGCCATTATCGTTACACATCATCTTTATTAACACTTTTATACCTTTAAAAACGGGGAGGCGCACTTAATCTACAATTGAAATAAGACAAATGGATTACAGCTTTTAGGCTCTTGGAAAAGAATACGTGGTATCTCCAAGAAAATAGGCTGGAGTCTCATCAACGTATTCAATAAAAAAAGGGTGACCCAGTACATGGGGCTCCTGTTAAAGCAAGGTCTAGGGAGGAGCAAGATAAACACACAGGCTTACTCGTATTTCTAAAGAGACTGTTTTCATGACTCGAACCTCCACCATTAGGATGCTAACAGCAAGCCTTACGGTAAGGCCAAATCACCCTATACTAAATGATAAAACAAAATAATATGATAAAACATAGGAGTGCATCCGAATGCACCAGCATTAAATGTAATTCTAATGAAAATGAACAATCTCTACAATGCGCTAATGCAAGACAGAAGTTCAGTTTTGAGAAGGAAAAAACCTCTATCTGCCTCCGGGTTTTTGCAACATCTAACGGACATGTAGCAGTAGCAGCAAGGCTTCCTGCAACAAAACCAGCAGAGAAATTTGCCCCAAGGACAGTGACTGCATTGGATTCATCACCTGTTAGACTAAGAAGTCTTCTTCTGATCTGACCAGATTATTAAACAAAACAAAAATTTAGAATATACGGAATACATGGACAAAACATATTAAAACAATTTTAAAAGAAGAAATTCTCACTGGCTCAAGGGTTCCCCAACAGATTGCAGAGAAAGGGACATCACGAGCAAGCTGTGCCCCAAGGCCTGTCCACAGGACACGATAGTTCTGCACTGAAATGAGAAGGCTAAATCAATTACAACTGAGAAATTTCCGGGGCAATCATCATTCAACAATAGGGAAAATTCAACGATGTTTCCAAGTTTGATTTTATAAAAAGAACAACACTGCCAAACAAAATATTTTGCATGAAAGGCTAGAGATTCCAGATCCAATACAGTGAGAAAGATAAGATACAAGTTCAAAATCTAAGTAACAGACACGGAAACGCGACAAGACACGGACACAACACTAACATGCCGACATGTAGATTTTCAAAAAATGCGGGGCACAACACACTTGGGACACGATAAAATTTTATATTTTCACAATTTATTATATGTTATATATATGAATTATTTATTCAAAGATAATGCAAAATGTGTAACGTAATATTGATTACATTAAAAAAAACTATATTTCAATACAATATAACTATGGAACATTGTAATACATCTTATAAATATTTCAAAACATTAGTAGCATGAAGGTACTCATCACATTAATGTGTTCGGATGAATCAAGAAGTGTCACCTACGGGTCCACGAAGTGTCGATAAAGTGTCTGATATTATAAATTTGATTATTTAATTAAGACACATTAAAGAAATGTTGGACATGCATTTGGGGGAGTGTCTAAAGAGTGTCGTGTCGGACACAAGTGTCAAACATGATACACTTCCTCGGTAGAAGTGTCCATGTTTCTTATTTCAAAACAAAGGTGGAAATCCGATTTTTTCCATCAAATGCCATAGAATCTAGGACGCATAGATACGGATACGATATGATACCAAGATTATTAAAATTGGGATCCTAAGTAGGATCGGATCGAAAATTGTAAGATCCTACTTTCTATTAAGAAAAAGATAAAAATACAAATTAGAATGATACATATTAAAAATAAAGTGAAAAATCACAAAATCTATGATCCTGCTTGCAATCCTACACGATCCTACTTGCAATCTTGTTATAACATCAATCCTACAACGATCTGGATCGTTTTAGCAATGTAGGATTGTACAATCCTACGATCCAGATCGCGATTTTAATAACCATGTATGATACAGATATAGAGATACGACAAAGCCTACAAAAATAAAATACTACAAGCACGCCTCAAAAATGAATAAAAAGAAAATATTTGTTTCAACCAAAAAATTAAATAAATGTATAGCAATTTAGTTTGGATGTGGGATTATAAAAGTGTATAACAGAAACCCAAAAATGAATAGAAAGAAAATATTTGTTTCTCTCTATATAAAAGAGACAAAATTAAGTGTGCTTTTTTAATTGTATTTTTGAATTAGCAAGATAGCAACAAAAAAATCTCATACTTATACTAATCAGCAACCTTGTGATTAGTATGTTACATGGACTCGAGTACGGGTGGTAGGTGCAGGTGCATATCTAGAGGCCGGGCTCATCAAATCTCAAATTCAATAATACGCAGGCTTGGCAAAAAAGAGTAACATTTTTATATTTTTAATCTATTAGAAAAATGATGTGTAACATAGAGTGCCAAAAAAATGTTTTATAGAAATTATACAACAAATGATACATATAGTGTTAAATACAACTACATAAAATATGTTAGATGGAAAGTATCAGACACTGTTGGCCTAGACACATGTTCATCAGAAAAACAAAAAAACTATCAGACACTAATCTTACACCATTGTCTAAGTGTTAGACATCTGACTTGGGTAATTGATTCATTTCGAAGAGTCTATGTAACGTAGGTGATTACACATGTCGGTTCAAATCCACACGTTTCAAAATTTAAAGCCTAGTAGCAACAACAGTAACATGCATAGATGAGATAACACGTGTCAATGTGTGTCAATGCACTCAAAGTGATGACAATGGTGGCACTTTCGAAGCAATTTCACTTTTCTTTTCTTCCACTCTTCTCCACTGGTTACCTAATAATCATGGACACAGACACGTGACATGACAATTTTTAAAAAATATTGGACACAACGCATGAGAGACTTGCACAAAATATATAATTTTATATATTTATTATATGTCACATTTATGAATATATCATTCCAAGACAACAACTAGATACAATATAACACTAATTTTTATAAATTGACATTATTTTTCTTTTATCATCGTATTCAAAGTTGTTTTGTTCAAACTTATAATTAGCTTTGTGTGTCTAATCAATAGGCGCATATGTTTAAGCAATTGACACAAGTGTGCAAATATAGTCTGAGTCATGTCTAGATGAGGTGTCGATAAGTGTCCGACGAGTATCGGTGTCAAACACGGACACGCCACATTTTTGGAAGTGTTCTTGCTTCTTAGCCGATTACCGCCGCCACCAACACCCACACCCCCAACTACTACCATCAGTTGTATATCGCCACCATTAACCACACCCCATTCCCACCATCCACCCCCTATTTTCTATCACTCATCTCATGTACTGTCATGTGACACTCTCTCTCTTCCATTATGGCCACAACCTCACTGCGTTCTAGTTAAGATGGGTTTCGTTGGTGGGTTGTAATTCAACAATGATCGATTTTGGTTCGTGCGTGCCCAGGCACACAGAGCTTTTGGGAGTCACTAGGAAGGTGTTGGATTACGGTGGAGATTTTGTTAGAGAGAATAGCAGAGAGAAAGAGACTAGAAAGGGGAAGAGAGATGTTTGGTTATTAGTATAGGATTATTAGTAAGGGGTGTTTGGTTATATGCATCAAAAAGAGCTAGATCTCTTGTAGTTTTGTGTGTTTTTTCAATTTAATTTAAGTTTATTTTGGTTATTTCAGTACAAATTTTAACATCGTTCAAGGTCACGAAAGGGAAGCCAATGTATATTGTCAAGTAAGGGAGTACAGTGTAAATTCAAAGACCAGAGGGGAGGTCCGTGTAATTGTCACAAACTTCAAGGGAGGTCTGTGTAATTAACCCTATATTATTATAAACTACAAGCACGTGTCACCTTGTATTGCTAAATTTTCATCAGTTGCAAGTCAAGTACTCAAAAGAAATTACTAATTTACGTGAAGTTCAAATAGGTATCAAAACAAAGAATCATCTTACAATGGTTTTGAAGGTTACTTGGGCTCTTGACAGGGGAGACAACTTCAATTAAAGTCTTCCATACACCAGGAGGCTTCTTACCAGTCTGAAACTCCTTAAATGCCTATAAGCAACATCAAATCATAAAATAAAAAAATAGGATTTAGAAGCCACCACTTAAAACAATGACGAAAAATAGCTTAATTCTTGTAAACCATCAGAGTTAAACAAGCATGCAGGGAACACTACTATGCCTAAAAAAATACACAATATACAGAATAAAGCATAAGGATAATGACATTTTTAGTTCATTGTTTACAGGTTGTAAATTAAAATGCAAGACTAAACTAAGTTGATATAAAAAAGAAAGTGGGGGGAAAAAAAAACAAAACAAAACAAACAGACAGACAAGCTAAACTAAACTAAGCAGAATGTAACCCAAGACGATGGTACATTACACAGTTAGTAATGCCTGCAGAAGCATCTAAGCAAAACAATATACTGAATCCTACAGAAACTGCTCACAATTTCCCTATGCACACAGCAGATATAAAGAATTATTTATATATTAACAAAAAATACTATGGTACCTGCATTCGTGTTCTAGCAAGTTCAATAGGGTAGCAAGTTGTGCAAGCTAATGAGCGTGCCAGTGAACCTGCTATTAAAGGGGCATAAGGTGTCATGCTTGGAATATTCTGCGCCGTGAATTCCTCCAACTGGTTGCAGAAAATGTCATAACATGGCAGGTAGATCCCAACCTACTCAAAAGACAAGGTTGACCATTAATAAGGTCATATAAAGACCAATATAGAGATGGAAATAATGGACTTAACAAGATTCCCAATAATGTATTGGCAACACAACAGGACTTGAGGCCACCAAGGAACTCACAGTTGGTACAGCAAGGGCTAGACCCGCATTTGTGCCTCTCCATAGTCTTGCAAATCCTTCCTGCAAATGAATCGAAATGACTGACAAACATAAAGATTGGGTCTCCAAAGTCCAAATGCAGAAACATAGAATAAAAATGCCTTGTGTGTGATCTGATAACTAATTTAACATCATCAAGGCTTCACAAATCATTAGTTGTACAAGAACACACCAGCATCTAACATCTTCTACCATAAGACTAGAATAATATCAATCTGCGCCAAAAATGACTACAAAACCTACGAACCTGTCGAATGATTTTGTAGAAGACATCTAGAGTTCCCTTGTAATGAAAACAATCAGGAGGACAAATTGATACAGTACCATGAACACCAGCACGGGCGCATGATGGAGAACACCTTAGATCTGCAAACATCTGAATGAACGTATAGTAGAGGCAAATTAATGTCATGTAGCACTGCAGCAGTACAGCATACAACTAAAAAGAACTAAGTCCCCAAAAAGACCATTGAGAAAAGACAGATGTAGGAGATTCGAGCATTTACAACGTTAAAAATAGTAGAAGGGCATATTGACTTTCAAACAACATTTGCATATAGATATAGTAGGCATCATGTTTCTGTGCCTCAACCATCAGTCATTCCAATCACTTTCGTGTAAATTCTCGATCTGAATTTTGAAAGTAATCAATTCAAACAAAAAACGCAGACTGGAGGTACAAAAGTTTTCTTTGATATGAGGCACAAAATGAATAGAGTACAAACCATGTTTGGTCCAAAAAAGGCCATGCGACTTGTAACATTACTTAGTGGATGAGAGTAAGGAACTCCAGCAGCCTGTGCTTGCAACCTTGTCTGCAAAACAGAATACAACAGAATGTTCAGCAAACATTTAGGTCTTGCAAACTCCTAAAAGTATTCAAAAAGTCAAAAAAATTCCAGGTAGAAATTTTTTATAACTTCAAACACAAACATCATAACCATAATTAACATTCAAGCAAAAAGTAAACAGCCATTCAACAAGTAATATATCAGGATTGACAATGTCAAGAAATGACCAAATTAATAACACACCAACGCCTTGTTTGATTAACTGGATTAATAGTAAAAGGATTAATAATCCCATGAATTAGTGTAGGATTAGTTATCTAATTAAATTAGTGTATGCATTTATTTATTTATTTTATTTTTTTGGTTTCATACTTGAAATTATGATCCTCAGCCCCTCTAAAATTCGTCAACTTCATCGGATTGAATATCCGTCATATATATAATCCGGTTAATAAAATTTGCAATCAAACATGGGATTGTGAGTCCGTGGACTAACAGTCCCAATCCAATGCTATAATCCTTGTATTCAAACATGTCCCAAATGTATTAAAATGTGATCATATATAGTTGAATTCAAATAACCATTCCATACATATGCAACGGTACAAATGAAGAAAAACAATAAAGAAGCCAATATAGTGATTCAATGAATATGATTACACCCATCCATGGATTTTTACATATTATTTTATAAAAAATATTTTATAAAAAAAAAAATATATATATATATATATATCTTTTTCTTTTATAAAAAAAAGCTGAAAACACATGGTTCGTAGTATGCACCACAAACTACACGCAATATTCGACAGCAAATTATGTATCTAATATAAATATATGAAGAAACCCACAAGAACAAAAATCTAACCAAGGGAGTGGGAGACACTAGCAAGCCAAAATAACCAACAATTACACAGAAACCATAGCAAAATAGCTAATTAGCAACAAACATAAAACACAATATCAAAAGAAAATAAACAGCATAAACGAATAATAAAGAATACAATTGAAAACAAAACAAAAACAAAACCTTGGCAACATCGAGTGGGTTGACAAGGATTGCCGAGAGAAAGGCGGCACCGGCGGCCGAGAAGGCTCTCTCTACAACACCCAATTGACCATCAGATGTGGGAGGTTGAGGAGGAGGAGGAGGAGGATGTGAAGCTTTGATGTCCTCCTCTGTCATCATCGACTCCGTCATCAATGACACACTATCGTCAATTTCAACTCTTGAGGATTCCTCTACACTCATCCATAGATTTTGGGTATGCTCTGATTCTTCTACCATTCTTTCAGATCCCCACCTTAAATCCTTCTCTCTCTCTCTCTCTCTCTCTCTCTCTCTCTCTCTCTCTCTGTGCCCAAAACTTCGACCAAAGAGGGGTCAAACTGTGACGGTTCAGGAACAGAATCGAATCAAAAAAAAATAACAAAAAAAATCAGAACTTGTTGATAGAAACATAAAGAAAATAAATGTAATAAAATTACACTTGAAAGAACAAAAATCAGAAAATGAAAACGTAAACAGAACAAAAATAAACCTTTGATGCTATTTGACCTAAGCTAAAAATGCCAAGGTATTTCTGAAAGCAATCGAAGTTGTTTCCGGGTTCCTTGGAGACGAGGAAATACAAATAGAAAAACACTGAGGAGGAGAAGAGAGGAGTAGAGAAGTCTCTGGAATTAGGGCTGCGTTTGGTGAAGCCCCAAAAAGAGAGCGGAAAAATATGTTTTGGTTCCTTATGTAAGCACTGATGAGATGGTTTTTCTCGAAGGCTAACTAAAATGGGTACATGTGTTTTGACAAACAATGCCTTGGGCTCTTTTATATGAGCAAGGATCCTCTAGAGTGATTTTTTCCTAAAGTTTCCTAAAGTGTTACAGTGTATGGTTGAGATTTACTGGCAAGTCACATCAATTTTTCTGATGTGACTTGCCAGTAAATCTCAACCACAAAATATAGCACTCTAGGAAACTTTAGAGAAATTTCACTCTAGAGGATCCTTGGTGCTTTTATATAGGGGTGAGCATGGTTCGGATTGGACCGGATTGGGGTAAAACCAGGACCAATCCGTTATCTATGGTTCCTGAAAAATTGGAACCAATCCAATCCGTTTAAATCATGGAACCAATCCGAACCAATCCATTTAAATACGGATTGGATCGGTTTAGGACCACGGATTCACATAATTAAATAACAAAAAAATATATATAACACTTTAATTTCATAAAAATATAAACATAGCGCTATATTAGTTCCACAATAGTAACATCTATTTCTATGATAGCGACATACTGTGCTAGAATTTAAACAACCATAAGAAAACTGGTTTCACCATAAGTATTTAGACCATTACAAATTAAAACTAAAAATTAACAACTAAAAATTAATAAAAGAAGATATTATACGGTTTTAGGTTTGAGTTTAGATTTTATATAGAATAAGAGAAGATACTATAGGGAATGATGTATAATAAAAATATATACTATTTGTATACGGTCTGGATCGGTTCCAATCCGGAACCGTGAGGTTCAATCCGGAACCAATCCGTGTACTACGGATTTTTCATTTTTCAATCCGGAACCGAACCACGGATTCAAAAAACCAATCCAAACCTATCGGATTGGACTGGACTGGATCGGATTACGGATTTCACGGATTCCTTGCTCAGCCCTACTTTTATAAGTGGGTTATAATTCACTTCTCAATTTTTCACTTTACTCTTTCACAAAAATTTAATTATATCGTCTTTCTAAAATAATTCTTAATTTAAGTAAATGTGTTTTGACAAACAATGCCTTCGTTTATTAGCGAAAGGTTGGCCGCAGCTTTGTGGCGAAAGGTTGGCCATAGCTTTGTAGGGTTTTTATACATGAGTTGGGGCGGGTTTTATACTTTGCCAATAAATTAAATCCTAATTTTTTAAATTATTTTAATTTAAATTTTAAAATTTTAAAATGACATAAATTTTAACAATATGTGTGTATCGGTTAGTTAATGGAAAATGAACAATTTAGATAATTTAAATATTTTTTTTGTCTTTATTATTATTGACAGTTACCCTTACCGTCATCCATTTCCATCTTTCATCTTTTCCATCCGTTTCACTTCAATGTGTGAATTTGGTAACAAATTAAATTCTAACTTTATAATTATTTCAATTTAAACTTCTAACTTTTAAAATAGTATTAAGAGCTCATTTGGAAAGACACTTTGGGCTAAAATAATCATGTAAGACAAAATAAGTTATTTTGGTCAAATAGAATAAAATGTCACATCTAACTCATAATTATTTTATTTTTTCTCTCACAAAAGTTAAAAATGCCAAAAAGTTTATCCCAAATGAGGATTTTTAGTCCCAGATTAAAATAGCAAAAAAGTCAAAAAGCCAGCCACATCTCAAACGAGTTCTAATTTTAACCATCTATAGTTATAACTAATGGAATAAGGATAATTTAGATAATTTATTTTATTTTTTTTATCGGTGGTGCTAAACGACGACAACGACAACAATTATGGATTTGACAAGGGTGGCAGGCAGTTAAGAAATGGAAAGAGTAGCAGTGAACGAGAAAAATGAATGAAGCGGTAGAAGGGGATTGGAGAAGAGAAGAGATAGTGATGGACGAAGGTAAAGGTAAGAGGTGACTATTAATCTCATTTGGTAAGTGTGCGGGGAGCAAATATCCAGGCGAGCCCGCACTCCTTGCTTCCGAGTTCCGTTTCTATCCGATCACCTGCGTGCACAACAGCGGTAAGCTACCCGGCGGTGTGTGGCCGGAAAACCCCTTCGACAATCAAGTTAGCACACACCTGAGGATAAAGAGAATGAAGAGTAAATGGAGTGTAAGTGTTTCTCTTACCAAATGTCCGTCCTTCTAGCATGGGGGGGCACAGACTTGCTTATATACCTTCTGTGCCCCAAATCTACTCCCAGTGATCTCTCGACACGTGGTTCTGTTATCCCATCTGTCAGTACAAATCTTGCTGAACATCACCTAACCCGACTGCCAGCCCACTCTACTGGGAGCTCGGCAGCCGAGCTGAATCTTCTCGACTGTCGACGGCCATGCTGTGTTCCATGCCCAATTGCTCCAAGAACTGAGATCCTTTCCAGCCATGCTCGGCAGCATTCCGGCGGAGCCGACCTTCAGACTGGTCGTACCGGTCAACCAAAGGCCATCCAGCCGGGCTTCTGGCACAAGCTTCTCGACCGGGCTAACGGTGCGCGCCATCGACCGAGCAACGCGTTTACGCGGTTATCACCTGCGCAGATCCAAATGGCTCGGTCCATCTCTGAGTAGCCCCAACTCCAGGCAAATCCAAAGTTATCGCGGCCCAACGCACCATTGGGCCTCCAATTTGCTCGGCCTCTAACTCGGCCCGTAACTGGCTCACAATTCTCCCTCTCAATTACCCCTTAATTCCGTCCGCACAAGCGTGACTGGGATTACCAAATCTGACCGGGGTAACAGTTCCTCGATCCTCCGCCATCGACCGAGCAACGCGTTTACGCGGTTATCACCTGCGCAGATCCAAATGGCTCGGTCCATCTCTGAGTAGCCCCAACTCCAGGCAAATCCAAAGTTATCGCGGCCCAACGCACCATTGGGCCTCCAATTTGCTCGGCCTCTAACTCGGCCCGTAACTGGCTCACAATTCTCCCTCTCAATTGCCCCTTAATTTCGTCCGCACAAGCGTGACTGGGATTACCAAATCTGACCGGGGTAACCCTTCCTCGATCCTCGGTTTACAATACGGTAACCAGGCTACTTGACATGCCTGTCTTCAAAACTTGCCCGGTCGATGCCTCGATTCACCATCCTGTCTCTTCAGTACTGACGCCACCGTCAATAGGGACGCGTGTCGTGGGTTGATTGGCCTCGAGCAGCCAAACATCACGTCCGTTCAAATTCAAACTTTTGGCGGTCTTATTCATCTCTATAAACATATTGAACCTTCTTTCATTTCAACCTTACCGACTCTCTCTCCTCCTTGCCGATCTAGAGCTTCTGCCTACGCTTGCTTGCCATTGCTGAGTTCGTCTTCGAAGAAGAAGACTTTGCCCTCTCCTGGTAAGCTCTCTGAACCCTTGTTATTACTGTTTTCGTTTCATATTTTTCTTCTTTATAGCACCAAATCCATAGGTTTAGGGCCTCCCCCACCCAAAACCTTCAATGCCCCTTAGTTTCTTCATTGTTCTTCAATTTCCCTAATGAACAATGAAGATTTGGGGCGGACCGGGCTCCAGATCTTCATTCGATCCAAAAAATTACTCAGACCAAGCAAATCTTTAGTTTGTCCCAACCTTAGGAGAAACCGGGGTAGCAAAAAGGACTTGGCCGCTCGACCGGGCTAATCTCTGGTTCGCTCGGGCAACCGAGCTCCTTGGCTAACATTTATGACCGAGGTAGTTTGGCACAATCCACGACCGAGCTCAACTCTAGCTCGTTTTGCGTGACCGCGCTCCCACTTACAATTACCCTCCATTTTCCTGCAGAGTCCAAGGGGACCAAAAACCAATCCCGAGGCTCTCAAGGACCGAGCAGCCATTAATTCCCAGCCTATGCCAAACCACCTCAACCGAGTTAGATTAGTCAGTCAAACATGGGAAAATTTTGCTTCCTTATGGACACACCTGCTGCCTTGGCTACCTTCAGGGAAGAATACGGTATCCCGGCAGACGTCCACATAAAACTCGCCGAGTTGGAAACAACCCCTTGGGGCAGGCTTGACCAATGCCCCTTCACCGTGCTGTCAGTAATTGAAGGAGGCCTCCGCTTCCCGGTCAACCCTCTGATGACCGAATTTCTACGCCGCACCGGGCTAGCACCCACCCAGGTTTCGACCAACACCTACCGAATAATCAATGGCGTGCACGAGCTAAACAACCGGCTAGGAACAAACTTAGGTTTAGCCGAGATACTACGACAATACACCCTTGGGCACACCAGCGACGGCCTGGCCTATTATTTAAAAATAAGACCGGGTAAAGAGAAGATAGTAACCGGCACCCCGGGAAAGGACTTACATGATGACGACTTCTTCTGGGTGTCTGGCAATTATGAAACAGCCGACGTACCGGGCTGGTTCATCTGCAAGAACTTTGGTTCCACATGTAAGCCGCGCTAATTTGCTCGATTAAGTTCCTGCCTTCAACATTCTATACTTACTATTTTTCCTGTTTCTTTTGTAGCAATTCAAGCCTTGCAATCCAACTACCAATATCCCAACGTTGAATCCATCCGAACCGTGCTCCGTTACAGCCACCGGGATTGTAACGAGTTGCCCGGCTACACTCCAACCTACGGATACTCAGCTCCACGCCGGAGCAAAGTTACAGACTTTCTCCATGCTCCAACACCTCCTCCGGACCTAACTCTACCGGACGTACCACTAATCCGGCTGACCGAAGAACAAAAGATGGCAAAACGAAGCCGCATCAAGAACCTCCTAACAGCTACCTCAACCGAGATACCGAGCATCACCACACACTCTCAAGCTGCCGGACAATCCAGCGGCCCCGTGGTCGCCTTGGCATCTCCAAGTGCCGGGCAACCCAGACAAGAAGCTCGCCGGGTTGGCAAAAGGCCTCGCGCAGACCCATTCGCCAAGCTGGTTGCCGAGCAAACCACCGAGCAACCCACCATCACTGTCGACCCAACACCACCGTGGCGACCGCAGTTGAAGCACCGGGGAAAGGACATTCCGGCTACCGCTTCCATCAAGAGCGACAAAGAGCACCTGCTC